GAGAGAGAGGGAGAGAAGGAAAGAGAGCGAAAGAAAGGGAGAGTGCGTCGCGAGAAGTGCCAGAGCGTGGACGAAATCGAAAGAAGGAATTGAGGACCTGTACGGGTCCTTAACGTTCAGGACGGTGCATGTCTCGGACCCCGTTTCTCAGCTTTTCCTCCGGCAACGCTTTGTCTACGTTCCTGAGGTAAGTTGGGATCATAAGAAAATGCCGAGATCTATGCCTAATTGTATCACTTTATGATGTAAGATTATTTTGTTCTTCATGAAAAAAAAAAAAATCTTTCAGACTCCAGTGACTTGACGCTTACTGAAAGTAAGTTTCACTTTAATTTTTATTTTCGCACGGTTATCGATCATTTTCTTTTAATGATCTAAACTTACTCCTTATATAAATCGAAATAATTCTTTTTATCTCTCCTTCTTTTTTTATACGATAATATTCGAGGTAAGGTAATATCTTTTTATGTAAAAACTTTTTAAGATGGAGAAAAGGCACACGCTTTAGAGAAAAGAGAGGAAAAAATGTAGGAAATTTAAAAAACCATCTGTCAGTGCAAACGTAATGTCATATTAGATCACGATTAATCTCAATTATTAGTGACCGTGATTGAGCATGCTCATAAACGTGTTAAAACGTTCCACTTTAACGTTCGCTCGAATGTCATATATCCGTTCAGTGATATATTGGCGATGAGAAACGTCTTGAAGAGGAAAAGCCCTCAGTTCGTGATTTGATCTCCTATTTGCTCAATGTCCTGTCAGTCCGTCTGGCTATCCTTTCAAGCTTTCCTGTGCTGTCGGCCTTTTATATGAAGTCTTTGAACCTCGTTGCCCCTAAAGAAGAAATTTTTCGGGCGTCACATTGTTGAAACTGCAAGACTCTCAAACTTTGTTAGTTCTAAGTAAACAGATTTTTCCGAAAGTTTCCAATTATTAATTATCGCGAATGATTTATAAAAAAATTATATTTTCAATAAACGAGACATTTATGTACAGCCGATATTTCACGTATTAAATCATTACCTATTATAAATTGAAACATTTATTTCTGATTGTATAAATGTATTATATTTCTCTTTATCTCTTATATTTGACGTATGATGAATCGAATTACATTAATCTCTTCAGTGTCCTAGAACTTTACCCATTTTTTATATAAATATTTGAAATTAATGACCGGTGCTATATCATTTCTTCAAAAATTTCATGTTTGACAAAAACATTAAATTCTCACATGTCTATTTGCACTAAAACATATTTTTCTATCTGGAATATCTTTTATATAATAGAATTAAAAAAAACATCGTTTAAACTTAAATATTAAATACACGTGACAAATACAATTTCTGCAAAAAGCAACATACAAGAATGTTGTAATTGATGCTTTTGTATAAATATTAGCGTCCAAGCGCAATTCTCTGAATTTTACGAGTTTCGCTAAAAACCGATTTAACCTACGACAAAAAAAAAAAAAGGAACAAAAGTAATCATTTTGTGGTCGATGATAGAACATAAATTTTCTGCTAAGCGCAATCGAGATAATCCCTTAAAACTCTATGTATACGCATATGTTACATTGTAACTTCCACAAATAGCGCAAAATTCACATATATATATGTCGCTACTGCGCGACAATTTTTTTTTCCTTCGAGAAAAACGCGCGGCTTTAAAAGAGTTAATAATTATGTGCTCGTATCGTGTGTAACACGAACTTTATTGATTCGCGAGTCGTAGGACGTATCGTACGCCTCATAATAAGCCATTAGGACACACGTGCTCGTATCTGAAAACGTGACATTTCAGTGCAGATTCGAAATATCGCAGGTCCGAAAGGACCGTAAAGCCGAAGCTTACGTCCGTATTTTTCAATAATCGATACATATTAGGTCGGTTTGCGAACAGAATTTTATACGTAAGCAAAAAACACTTCTGACATAACTCAACTACAAATCCGTAATCATGCAGCTCTCCGGTTACGGGAGATACTTGCGTAAGTATCTCCTTACAATTTCATTAGAAATTCATTAGAATTAAATAAGAAAATGCAATATCTGATATTTCATCAAAATGAATTATGCATGTTTTCGTCGTCGCATTATCATATATTGGCTACAGCGAGGGGAAGTCAGTTTGTTCAATCGAGATTGCTGATTCTTGGTTGCATTCACCTTTCAAACTTGCGAAAAACTTCATTTTCTATAGCCCGAACGCTTACGCGATTGATAGTACGGCCTGCTATTCAACAGACGTGACACCCCAAGTTCACTAAAGCCTCGTAAACTCGGCCTGGACTTGGGCCAAATCGAAGTGCGATAGCACCAGCGTCGTCGTGCACATAACTATATGCGCCCGAAACAGCTGTTAACCCGACTTGTTGCACCGTCAACAGACGTTGCAACCACGCTGCAGCTGGTGAACTTTGCCACGCGAGCGTGTAACAGGCTTCTTTGTCGAATATAATTATAAATTATGAACCGCGAGACCACGATCTTCGATTTAAAGTTCAGATACTGACGTGGCTGGACTGATTGAAAACCATCCTATCTGTGTTACTCCACCAGACACTCATCAAAAGTCAAGAATTACAGTCTATTTTTTTTAATATACATTAATGTGTTAATTAAAGTAGAGGTAATAAAGATGAAGATAATGGAATACACACATGTTTATTAATTATAATGTTACATTGTGTTGTTAATAGGATTTAATTAAAATGACGATGTTACGACAAAACAATATATATTATATGAACAACATAATATTTTAAAAAGAGAAACTGGAAATTTTCCCCCTTTGTCTCTCTTTCTCTTTTTTCTTCAAGATATAAATATCATCAAGGACAAGGGATAATATTTTGCGGTTGTTTGAAAAACTTACTCTGAGAATCATTACCCGATTAACGATGTACATAGATAAATGTGCGAATTCGCACAAATTCACTCATCGATTTCTTAAGTGCATCGATTGTTTTTCCGTTAAAACACATTTGGCCGGAATAAGGTGTCCCGAGGAAAGCTATATAGAAAGCGGCGCGGATATTATTTCTGAAATCCGCTCGACTTCTCGACCCAATAACCGAATTTATCTTAACTCTTGCGAGGTAGAGGTCGTGGAGAAAACTCTAGCTATTTCAGGAAGTAGGCTACGCGAAGATAATCTGCGATGCTTGCAAATGCATTCACGATCACGCGACGGTCGCGCGGCGCGTCGAGTCCGCGGAGCGCTGCCGCTGGGAGCCGCAAAGCAGCGAAATTTCCTTTAGCCCGGCGAAGAGATTCCGACGGAGCAAAGGAAACTATTTGCGATAGGAAAAAAAAAAAAAAAAAAAAAAAAAAAAGAGGCGCAAATTTCCGTGCCAGTAGACTGGGCCGTCGAATTTCTCGCGGTACGTCGAGCAGCACCGCGATGTCTCTGTGCGATGCGCTTTTTGTGCACGCTTCCGCTGCATCGTTACGATCGTTACGACACGCGAATTTTCGGTTCAAATGACAATCACCCGATCGGGCAGTCTCGTTATCGGTTATCCCGTTACACGTGTCGCAAGAAATAACGCCTGGGCGTGGCGTGGCGATACAATGGCAAATAAAAAAATATTTGTGCGCCATGCTATATACACCGTATATCGTCATCCGTATATCATAATTTAACGCATTTTATTTTTCATTGTATATTGGTTATCGAATTTGCGATCGATATTTCCTCCGGGGAGAATTTCGCCGCTTCTTAATATTCTCAATATCGAAAATACCTCGGTACCTCGGTGAAATTAAAATTCTCAAGAAGTAGACTTGACTTGAGTTTAGATGGACAATGAAGTTTCGTTATTCAATTTCATCTCGGAGGCTTAGGTTCCATAAGGAAGGTCCCCTCGCTTTCAAGCGCCTGTAACTCGGTAGCTGTCGATGTAGCACGACATTTTTACGGAGAGGAAGGAAAGATTGATTTAGAAATTACATTTGTCAGACTGTCGCGGAAATTAATGCCAAAAATTCCGAATACATAGTCACAATAAAAGAGTCCGAAACGTTTAACCGTGAAAGTCTGTAGAGATTCATCACGATTAGACAATTAAAGGCAACAAAAACGTCCGGCTGAATGATTACAGTCGATTATCGAGTCATCGACGTCCGCTGGGATTATCACCGCTCTTTTTGCGTCCCGTCTATCGCACACAACATGTGTTGTATACAACACGAGTGGGAGGCAAAAGCGTATGAACAAACGCGCGAAGAGCCGTGTGCTCGTTCGGAGTGAGCGGCGGGTGTGATTGTTTAGTTGCGATTGTCGATCAATAGAGACAATCAAGCTCTTAATTATCGGGACGTGACTAACCATCGGTTGGAATTCGATATCGAGCTTTTCGTCGATTAGCTTCCGCGTAAAGGCTCCCTCGCTAACGTCGGGCCGCGACGCGCTGGCTGGAAAATAAACTCGCGTCGTCTCAACGTCGTTTCCTCTAAAATTGCGCCTCGCTCCATGTTATATTATACCAGATATACCGAGTCTACACGCGAAATCTCCCGCTTGCATAAGGAAGTATACTCGCGATGGAAATTCGCGGTAACGACGATCTATACGGGGTGTCTGCGCCTTCTTTCGCCCACGATTTCCTTGATCTCTCTTTCTTCTGGAGACGATTTAATGAAAATTTAATCAGACAGTAATCCGATTCCGGTACCTCTTTCTACTTTAAATATCTAACGCAATTAACCTCTATTTAAAATTGGCTGAAGAATAACGCGGCGATATTCTTATCGCGTGAATGCTCTAGATTTTAACTTGCTGATAGCTGTTGACGTTGGAAATTTTTTCTTTTTTTTTTTTTGTTTTGCGAACGATATTTCGATCTCGTCCAAATATTCGTGCGCGTAAAATTCCCCGAGGGACATTCTCTATATGTTATGTTATATATGCAACGAAGTTACTTCCAGCACGTTAACTCGCAGGCATTCTTCTGCCATCGCGGCTGATGTCGACTGGTGCGTCTATCTGTGTGATGACGTTCGCTCATAAACTCGTGAATCGCTCTCAGCCCTCGCTGCTATCAGAGATTGTTACTTACGCTCAAACACATGGATGTGGGTAGTAACAATACCAGCGACAACGGCGTGTAGTCGCGGCCCGAAACTCGCAAATGAAATAACAGTCGGCGAGAGCCCAATCAGATTACGGTGCGAGCAAGCA